TATATCAAAACAATCCATTCATCCTTTAATATTTACTTTTTATTCAATCAGTATAAAGAGGGCAATATTGTAGTGTCTGGTTTTAGTATATTTTTACAATTAAAAAGCAACACATTTATGACAATAGCATTAAATTATATGTGCATACTAATGGTGGTTGTTACAAACGTTTTTAATTATTTCTAATTGAACTTTATGGTACTTATTTGATTTGAACTTATTCCTCCATGGTTTAAGGATGATTTATTACAAGCTATATTTTTTTCATGAAGATTAAGTTCAAGAATAGACTTTAGGATAAATTTTGTTAGATCTAGACTAAAACTGATTAATGTCATCGTACGACAGGGATAATATGCTCATGCCGCCTTGTCCTGGTGACAATTCTCGCTGCCGTGTTTCTGTACAGGCAGAGGTTTTTCAATTTCTGTTTTAAGGGGACCGTAAGAAAGACTGTTACAATAGTCCAGGAGTGCTGAGACAAATGCTTGCAGAAGTTTGGTTGTTGTGGGTTCATTTAGAAATCGTCTGACAGAGTTGATCTTACAGAGAACATGAAAAGGTGATTGGCATACATAATTAATCAGTTTAGTAATTTAAGAGAGAAATCCAGATGTACGCGAAGGTTACAAACCAGAGGCGATGTGTCAATGTGTGCGTTACCAATGTTATCAACGAAAGGGATGAAACCTTTAACGAAACATGAGAAATGTATGAAATGTGTTTTTGACTCATTGAGAAACAGATTGTTGGAAATTGACCAATACCGGATGTCCTGAAAACAGGTAATAATTTTTTTTTTTTTGCTACGCCAGGTTTCTCTGAGATGAATTTTTGGCTCCGCCAGGTTTCTCTGACATGAGGTTAAATAGACTTGAACATCGTCGGCGTAAATCATGCAAATGACACCAACTTTTGGCAATCCTATAAATGGTGTTAGCATAAAGTGCAGACCCCAGCTTTTAGCAGTCTTTTAGAAGAAGATGCCCCATTAATTGTCACTAACTAGTAACTGTGATCTCTACTGAAGATCAGAAAACATCCATTCAAGAACCTTGTCACAGAATTCAAAATCAGATTAAAGTCGTCTAAACAAGAGCTGCATGAACGACGGTGTCCTCGATGATAGTTCTGTTCCGGAGGTGTCTGGATATTATTCTGTGCGATTCTAAAAATCTATTAAACTCTCTCCTTTAGGTCGTAGTGACCATGCTTCCATTTAATACGAACCTTGTAATTTTCAAAAAAAGCATATAAAAAGGAAGACAGTTGAATTTCACCCTCTAAAGGATTCATGTATGCAGCGTTTTGGTCAAGTCATTACAGGAATGGATTGGGATGATTTGATTCCATTAAACGGAAATGATCCTGAGTACCTCGCTGGTAAATTGGAAAGTGTATTTAGGGATACCTATACAAATTCTTTCCAGACAGTATTTGTTTGCGTTAAGGAAAGTGACAAGCCCTGGTTTAATCAACGTATAAAAAAATACATTGATAAAAGACATCGTGCCTACAGAAAAGGTAATGATTTGCTATACCGATATTACAGAATGTTAGTACGTTATGAGATTAAATTGGCCAAATCCTCTTTCTATGAAAAATCTGTTGCTTCGAATGAGCCTCGTAAGTGGCACATAAAAATGTACAGAAGGTCTCTGGACGATCAAAACCCAAATCTTTATTACTTGAGCCCGGTTGTGACTCTAATGTTGTTGCAAATGTTGTTAATAAGCATTTTGCTAGTATTTGTTCATACTTACCGGCACTTAATCTGCAAAAATTATCAACCTTTCTTCCCACATTTAAGCCCCCAGTCATATACCCTGGGCAAGTTTACAAACTTTTAAAGGCGATTAATGTTAATAAATCGTGTCATCCTCAAGATATGCCGCTTCGTTTAATCAAAGAATTTTCTTTGGCGCTTGCTCCCCCTCTGTGCAGAATATTTAATTGCTGTCTCAGAAATTCCATATTCCCTTTTATCTGGAAAAATGCCATAATTACCCCTGTTCCAAAAAAACATTTTTCATATTCCAGATGACCATAGGCCAATATCCATTACACCGATCTTTGGTAGGATCTTTGAAGCTTTCCTTTCTGATTGGATAGCTAGGGATTTTAAGCCTCACATGGATCCCCAACAGTTTGGGAATGGTAAAGGTTCATCGCCTACCCATTATCTTGTTCAGCTTTGTAATAGGTTGCTAGTTTATCTTAACATCATGCCTTCTATTATCCCAACGTTGTGTAGCTTCCTTACCCAAAGAAATCATTGTGTGAGGTTAGGTGGGGCAGTGCCAGAACCAGTCACATGTGGTGTGCCACAGGGCACAAAATTAGGCCCAATACTGTTCACCATCATGGTTAATGATCTGCTGAAACATTTGCCGAATAGATGGAAGTTCGTGGATGACCTAACGATTGGCGAAGTCATTTCTGTGAAGAATCCTGAGAATAGTCAAATGCCAAATAATCTCAATGATCTTGCAAGCTGGTGTGTTGAGAATGATACAACGCCGAATCCTTCAAAGTTTCAAGTGATGCGCTTCCATTTCCTGCAAAATTTGAGCCACTTCAAATGAATGGTGTTATTCTTGAGGAATCACAAAGTGTAAAACATTTTGGCGTCCATCTTCAAAGTGACCTTAAGTGGGACATGCAAATTAAGGAAGTTACTTACTTGATACTTACTTGATATAAGTGGGAAAAGTTAGGCAAACGCCTTTAAGACCCCACAGCTGTCCAGTCTGTTCTTGAAGGTGTTAACAGTTGTGGCAGCAACAACCTCTTGTGGTAAGCTATTCCAGATGTTTATT